AAGCTACCAGATTTTAAGTACTATATTTGTGAGGCTGCTTTTATTCAACAAATATTTCCTGAGCTCCAACTATGTTTCAGGTACACTTCCAGGCCCTTGGGGCTACATCAGTAAACAAAATAGACAAAATCCTTGCCTGTATGGAGCTTATATTTTAGTACATGGGATGAGGAAAGACAATAAACAAAACAGATCAGTTAAATATACATGGGATGTTAGTGTCCATGGAGGAACATTGAGTGAGGAAGGGAATAGGGGTGTTGTAGTTTTTAATGGGACGATCAGTGCCAGCTGCACTGAGAAGGTGATACTCGAGCAGACTTAAAGGAAGAGCAATTGCAGGAAGAGGTTCAGGTGAGGCTACAGTCAGTGCAAAAGCCCTTAGGCTCCGGAGTTCAAGGAATAGTCAGGAAACTAGCTGAAGCAGAAGGAACAATAATGTTAGAGAGGGAACAGGGCCTGTAGCCCATCATTGGATTTGGGATTTGTGTTCCATGTAAGATGGGGTGTTTCAAGAAGAGAGAGAAGATACAGAATGTATCTCATTGGTGATAGCAAATTTTAAATTTTCCTCTAAGAGAGAAATGGGGTAATAGCATCAGGGATGGGAGCAGGTGGCAAGAGAAGGTCTGTTTCATTTTTCAGAGACAAACAGCATGACTTTCTGTTAAATATGGAACTTGAAATGACAATCACAAGTCTTGCCTTTTCTGCTTCTCAAGTACACTGCTTTATTTGACTGCCTTTATGTATTGAGACAGGGCTATCTTTGCTTGATCCACTTATTCAATGAACTATTTAATATGACCAAGTTAAAGGAAATAATTTCTGAAACATATAAAAAAAACTTGTTTTCCATTTCTAGACATGTGAAGTATCTAACTACAAAACTGATTTCTTAAAAAGCTCTTTCAAATTCAATACCTTTTTCCTACAATCTTTTCCCATAATAGAAAATTAAGAAAACATGCCATGGCACAAACTACTTGCTAAATAACTACAGTGGTCGATTATTCAAAATGCCTCTTCAATAACTTTTATGACTATGGCTCAAGAATTTAATGATCAACTCATTTATATAACATGAATATTTTTAAATGATAGTAAACTTTTTGTAAAACTGCCCTGCATTAATGTTATGAGTTAACTATTCTTTTAGACAAGATTAATTTACTTTCTCATTTAGTCCTTTAATTAGAAAATAAAAAAAAAACCAATGTCAGCTGTAAGGGATTTTTGCATAACTGCCCGTCTGTTTCAAGGTAATGATCACAGACTGTACCCTGCAAGTGAGTCATAGGTTTTGTTAGCTTCTTCCTTCAGGGACCACAAATAGGTGATAAACCACATTTGTCAGTTTCACAACAGCATCTTCTTGAGGCAATAGTTTGAGGCTTTAATTGAAGAGACAATTTTTTTTAAAAAGAAGCTTTGCTGGTTTGTTTTTGGAATTTGAGTACAGTGACCAAGAATCTCACAGTTGCTATGTAATGGACTTGGAACCAGAAAACCTGGATTTGAATCTTGGCTCTGTCCCTGACTCTGGACAAGATGCTCAAAGGCTCACTTAGCCCAACTGCAAAATGAAAAGAATCCTTGCCTCTCTGCTACGGTGAGGACGGAACGATCACACTGTAGACTCACATACCAGCCATCATGGACTCCCAGTAAATTTGCCTGAATCAGCTGCACCAGACATCAGGTCAGGCCACTCCTTCCCTGTTTTCCGCAGTAAAGAGCTCCTCATACAGTGCTTTTTTATATCTTCACTAGAGGCCCAATGCACGAAATTCATGCAAGTGGCTCGGCCCTCACAGGCCAGCTTTGTCCGGAAGGTAGTCCAGAAAGTCATTTGGCTGTCTGGTCTAATTAGCATATTACACTTTTATTATTATAGATAGCCACCTCTCTAGAGAAAAGGTAGGACTTCTGAGTTAACCATGTAGTAAGGGGGGAAAATTTTTGTTTTGTCCCCACTGACATCTCAAAAGTTTACATCATATTTCTCTTGCAGAGGGAATAGGATGGGAAATGGGATCTCATTGGTGTTTGTTTTATTTTAATAAATGACTTCTATTTCAAACTTATTGTGATACTTATGATCTACTATATTATAATAGCCAATACTTTATCTGGATATACTTAACTCGTTTTAATCCAAATGGAAAACATGGATTAATGTTTGGTATATGCATAAACATGCTAATATATTTGAGGCTATAAAAATTTATGAACTTTGATACAGCACATCACCTTGTTTATATTATCTTGGAATTTTATCTTGCAAGTCCATGCATTGAAAACTGAAAATATTGAACATGGCTGTCAAGCTATGGCTGGGACACCATGGAAAACTTGGGAAGCAATATAGCAATATTATGTCATGGAATTTGGAGTCAGAAAAAATCCTGGGTTTAAATTCAGACTCTGCCACTTACCATGTGCAATTCTGAAAATTTTTTGAGCCCCAAAGCCTCATTTCCTCTTTGTAAAGCAAGGATATGAATAATACTTCTCAGGGATTAAGTGGATTGAATAAAATAATGCCATCTTATGATGAGGAAGACTTAATGAAAAGTAAGTAAATCTGGAGTCCCTGGGTACAGGAGAGACAGTTAAAGTATGCTAACAAGTTCACTTAAGTTCCAAATTTAAGTAGCAGCCCAGCTTTTTTGGGGGGGGTGGGGGGGCACTAGCTACATGTCCTTGGCCAAAGCCCAATCACTTTGTACTTCAGCCCCCTCATTTAACTGTTAGGTATTAATATGATTAGTTACAATTTGTGAAGCACTGACCATATACCATGCGATCTGATAGGTTTTGTGGGGGAGAAAGAAACTTTCCTCTACCTTCATTGTTCTTGCAGCTGGACTAACAATCAAATAGACAGGAGGCAGATTCACAAGAGAAAATAACCAAGTTTAATGCATAGGTACATATGGTAACCCCATATACATGAGCGGTTCAAAGACAGAAAGGGAAAATGAAGTGTATATGACATTCTGAGCTAAGAATCACCTTAGGGCTTCAGAGGGAAGGAAGCTCATTGCAGAAGGATAGAAGCAGATATTCAGTAATTAGAAGTTCGCCCAATGGTTACCTCTGATCTATACTAATAAAAGGATAGTATGCTAATTAGACCAGACATCTTCGAGACGACCATCTGGACATCCTTCCAGACAAAGCTGCAGCAGCCGCCTGAGGCTCAGGCAAGCTATTGATGCAGCTGCCGCTGCCCAGAGACCCAAGGCTCAGGCAGTCGCAGCGGCCGGCAGTGGCAGAAGCAGAAGCATGATGGGGGCATCGCCTTCCCCTTATCTTCCAGTAGCCTCCCACAGAGGGAGGCCAGAGGCAGCAGCAGCAAGGGGATGATGGGGACGGTGCCTTCCCCTGATTGCCTGTCGCTCCCTGTGGGGTGGGCCTAAGCCCTGAGTAGAACCCCTGAGGGCTCCTGGACTGTGAGAGGGGGCAGGCTGGGCTGAGGGCCCCCCTCCAGTACATGAATTTTCATGCACCAGGCCACTAGTAATATTATAAACAAGGCCCCTATTCAAGTTCTTCTAGGTAGTTAAGGGAAGGCAAAAGCTTCTCTTGAGCCAGCAGGGTTTTGGCTGTCTTTAGCTCAAACAATCCTCATATACCACAGAGGCACATCTTGGGGTGACTGGTTCTGAACCCCTACAGTTTATATGTAAACTTCAGTCTTTACAATCCCCCCTCGTAGTAGATGTTCTAATCTCCATTGCATAGGTGGCTGAAACTAAGGGACTACATCTGTGCAAGGCCCCACAGCCAATGAGTGCTAGAGCCTGGCTCCACAGCCAGGCTTATCAGCCTCCCAATCCTGTCCTTAGGGACCCAAGGAACTACCAGACACCAGCCTCTTCTAGACAGGATCAAAGGACATTATTCCTGTGAAAATGCTTTTTGAGCCAAAACGTCCTTCTACAAAGAAAACCTCCTAGTACTTCCTCCTCTACACGAACATACGTAATTCACAGAGGTCTGTGGTTTACCCCAGTGCCTGGGAACCCTGACAGAACAAAAGGTTACACTTCCAGCTCTCTTTCATCTCCTCCTGGAATTTTGCCCTGACCTCAATTTCGCCGGAACAGACCTGATAAACAACATTAAAGATCAGATCTCCAAATGCCGCTCGCTCCGTGCCACTCCAAGTCAGCCCCCTGCTCTCGGGAGTACAGGGCAAGGAGATCTTGAGCTTTTCCTTGAAAGGTGGACACACACTTTCCGGGGCTAACGTCTCACGCCTACCTGTGCAGCTCGCTTGGGCAAGCGTCAATGACGCGGCCGCATCACCGTCCACATAAACTAGTGCTTTCGAAATCACGCTGATACCGAACCCCAGTTCCTGGCACCATGCAGTCCATCTAATGAAGGCAAACTTCGGTCCATTTTCGAGGATACGGTGTAAAGTTTAGAGCTGATTTCCTCTGAAAATGTTAACTGCTCACACGTAGTGAAGTATAACTCTGTTGCCCACCCTTATTGGAAATAATAAGCTTACTGGAAATACCACCAAAGGGTTTCTGGTATTAGTGACATGAGGGGCCAATTGGGTCCAAGTGGGCCTCGGCTTGGTATCCTTTGAAAGGCACATCGTTGTCCCCTCTCCTGAGAGATGCTCAGCGAGGCCCCCTCACCCCTGAAGAGGAAGCAGGAGAGTCAAGTCCAGATAAAGTGGAGGCGCTCATCGGCGCAGCTAGAACTCAACTCTGGGAAGGCGCTCGGGCCCCCGTTTGCGTAAGAAAGAAAGGTCGCTGGTTTCCCAAAAGCCGGGTCTCCGAGCATGGGGACTGCCCCGTTCTCGGGCCCTGGGACTGACCGTTCCCGCTCAGACTCTCTCCCTTCCCCCTGGACGCTCCCAGCGCGCTCCCCGCCGCCTCCGACGCGGAGCCCCAGCACCCGGCCAGTTTCCGCCAGCGCCGCAGGGGCAGAGGCGGGGCGAGGGCGAGCGGCTGCGCCGGGACACCTGGCCTTACCTCGGACGGCGAGATCTCAAACACGCCGGCGATCTTGGCGTAGAGCTCCCGGATGTTGGAGAAATTCTCCACTCGGCCCGTGGCGCTGCCGTGCGCCAGCTGCGTGTAGAAAACCAGCCTGGCCGGGGAGCGCGGGGGCGCCGGGAGGTGGCTGCCGTCCGCGCCCTCCGGCTCGCCCTCCACCAGCGCGCAGGTCTCCTTGGACTTGTCTTTCTTCTTGACCCGCAGCCCCAGGGGCATCGTGCCTGACCGCGGGCCGGGGCCCACCTGCGCTGCCGGCCGCCTTCTCCTCGGCCCGGCGCCGCGGACTTTGCGCTCGCGGTCCCTAGGGCTCCGCGCAGGTGGGAGCGGCCGCTGGACCAATGGCACAGGTGCTTCCGCCTGGTTGCTGCGGGGCAGGGCCCCTTTCTCCACCCCGAGGAGCGGCATCTGGACCCTGAGCAGCCATGTGTCATCCCTCCGGATGAATCTGGAGAGAGGAAAAGTTCTACCCATTCTCGCATCTCATCTCCAGGTTTCTCCCCAACAACCCCAACCCCCTTTTTAAAATTGGCTGGATTTCCTTGAAAGCCTTGGGATGCTGAAGCTACAGAACAACACGTCTTAGAATACAAACATGCTGGCCCTTGCGGTACCTTTCATAAATGTGTGGTAGGCACTCACACGATTGGGACACGCACCTTGGTGTCTGAACGTCTGAGCCATTGGGGATGTGAATTTTAAAGTTCAAGTCCACCTTCATCTGCCTTCTCTGCGCCTTACTTCACCGTGCAGGGCAGAATTGGAAGGGAAAGTTTTGAGATCGGTGCCACATTAAATTCATATTCAAATACCCTCCATGCCTCTTGGTAACCTTTTTTTACTTTTTCCTTCGGGCAGCTTTCTCTGTCCAATGTTCAGCACTCTCCCCAAGTCACAGCTCCACCTACCTGCGCCCTTCTAGGTCTATGCAGTGGACCTGCCTGAGGGTCCTACTCAAAGTATTGTGTAAACTCCCTTAATTCCCCACCCCTTGTCTGTAACTCCTCCCACTGCCCTTCTCCAAACTCAGAGAAATCTACACTAATAAAAGAGAAACATGGTAATTGGTGTACCACCGCTACCCTTTTCATTGGCTAATCAGCGAGATATGCAAATTAACTGTCAGCCAAGATGGCCGCCAGCAGCCAGGCAGCTTGAAACTAACATGAGGCTTGCTTGCCTCAGTGATGGAGGATCTTGGAGGAAACCAACATTCACCGCCTGCGGCTGCAGGCCTCTGAGTGGGCAGTTTAAGAAACATTGTAACAAATACCGGGGGACTTCAGCCAGCAGATTCGCAACATTGTAAGCAAAGGCCAGAAACCTACTTTCAGCCACAGAGGCCTAAGCTGGAGCCAAGCCTCAAGGTAAAGCTGGCCCAGAATAAAAAAAGAAAAAGAAAAAAAGGAGAAGTTGGGAGCTTCAGTCACCCACAGCCTGAAAACAGCCCTCAGCCCCTCACCCAGACTGGCCAGGCACCCCAGTGGGGACCCCCCACCCTGAAGGGTGTGTGACCAGCTGCAAACAGCCATCATCCCCTCACCCAGGCTGGCCAGGTACCCCAGTGGGGACCCCCACCCTGATCCAGGACACCCTTCAGGGCAAACCAGCCGGCCCTACCCGTGCCCCAGGCCTCTACCCTATATAGTAAAAGGGTAATATGCCTCCCGGCACCGGGATCAGCCTGACAGGGGGCAGCACACAAACCCCCTGATTGCCCTGCAGCTCTGTGTGTGACAGGGGGCGGGGCCCCAACCCCCTGAGCAGCCCTGCTCTGTGCCTGATAGGGAGCTCCCAACCTCCCCCCTGCCCCCCACGGGCCCTGCTCTGTGTGTGATGGGGTAGAGCCATAACCTCCCCATCGGCCCTGCCCTGAGTGTGAGAGTGGCGGTGCCCCAACCCCCTGATGGGCCCTGCTCTGTGTGTGATGGGGGCAGCGCCCCAACCCCCTGATTCGCCCTGCTCTGTGTGTGACAGGAGGTGGCGCCACAACCTCCCCATCGACCCTGTCTTGAGTGTGACAGGGGACGGTGCCCCAACCCCCCAATTGGCCCTACCCTGAGAGTGACTGAGGGTGGCATCGCAACCTCCCAATCTGCCCTGCTCTGTGCATGACGGGGCGGCGCCCCAACTCCCCAATCGGCCCTGCTCTGAGCCCAACCAGGGGCTGCACCTAGGGATTGGGCCTGCCCTCTGACACCCAGGAGCAGGCCTAAGCCAGCAGGTCGTTATCTCCTGAGGGGTCCCAGACTGCGAGAGGGCACAGGCCGGGCTGAGGAGCCCCCCCTCCCCCCGAGTGCACAAATTTTTGTGCACCAGGCCTCTAGTATATATATAATTGATTTCAGATGGAAAGGGAGAGGGAGAGAGAGAGAGAGGTAGAAACATCCATGATGAGAGAGATTCATTGATTGGCTGCCTCCTGCACGCCCCCCACTGGGGATGGAGTCCGCATCCCAGGCATGTGCCCTTGACTGGAACCCGGGACCCTTCGGTCCCCAGGCTGACGCTCTACCCACGGAGCCAAATCAGCTAGGCTGAGCCAAACCGGTTAGGACGAGAAACCTCTTTTTATTTGACCCTTGATCTGTCTTCACTCCTAAAGAACCTCTATTTTTAAGGACTCTAGTCCTTCCCCACCTGATGCCATCATTGATAGCCAAAAGCCAAATCTCTTACACTGTTTTCAAGTCATCCTCCATCTCTGCAGCTGCCTCTGGCTACATTTTCACAACAAAGCAAAACTGTCTTGAATTATTAGCTGCATTTCCTCACTTCTCCCTTTACTCTTAAGCTCCCTGTGATCAGACTTTGCCCCCACACTCCACTGAAATTGCTCTGACTCTGGTCAGCACTTCCTAATCCATCAGCTATGATTCACTCTTTTCCACCTTTATCTTACTTGACCTTTGAAAGTTTCTGACTGCAATAACCATTTCACTCTTAAGTCAGGCCTCTGTTTTGACTTCCTTACCTCTTCTCTTTAACTGCTACTCTGCAGAAACTGTGTTTTCCAAGGCTATTTTTCTTTGGCCATTTTTTTGTTCTTTGCATACTGTTCTCCCTGAATGACCACATCTATTGTCTTGGTTGGGTTTTTTTATATTTATGTTGATTTCAGAGAGTAAGGGAGAGGGAGAGAGAGAAACATCAATGATGAGAGAATCTTTGATCAGCTGCCTCCTGCACACCCCCTACTGGGATCAAGCCACCAACCCAGACATGTGACCTGACCAGGAATCAAACTGTAACCTCCTGGTTCATAGGCTGATGCTCAATCACTGAGCCACACTGGCCAGGCTTCTTTGTTTGTTTGTTTTTGAATCCTTCAAGAATATGTGTTTGAATAATAGATACAGAGGCAGAGCTGCCTCAAACAGATTGTCAAACTGCAGCAGGAAGGCCGGGGAGGGTTGCGGGGCAGGAGGTAGGGAGGTAAGAGATCAACTAAAGGACTTGTATGCATGCATAGAAGCATAACCAGTGGACATAAGACATTGGGGGATAGGGGAGGCTAGGGGACTGTCTAGGGCGGGGGGATAAAATGGACACATATGTAATACCCTTTGTAATACTTTAAGCAATAAAAAAAAAAAAAAAAAAAATATGTGTTTGATTTTACTTTTGTGTTTTTATTTATTTTAAAGAGAGAGGATAGAAGAGAGAGAGAAACATCAATTGGTTGCCTCCCATATGCACCCTAACTGGGGATGGAACCCACAACCTAGGTATGTGCCCAGACCAGGAATGGAACCCACAACATTGGTGCACAGGACAACGATACAACCAACTGAGCCACCCGGTCAGGGCTTGACCTTTTTTGTTGTTGAACTCCAAATTTATATCCACAGTCCAGTCTACCAGAAAGGGAATGTACCGCAGGAAACTCAAAATGAGAAACTGAGATTATACAAATCATCCTTTCTCCTGAAAGCACCTTTTTTTTTAATTCCTGATTTTAGTAAATAGGGTCACATACCCAGTGGCCCAGACCAGCATCTTTGAGTCATCATACCAAGTATTTTCCTTTTCCCTCACCTCTCACATCAATTCAGTCCTAAAAGTTCATGTTTCTAAAAATAAGGTTAGCGGTTGTACTGGAAGAAGAGAGGAGAGCCTACTTTCTTTAGAGTAACTTTAAAATTTTTGTGTTTTGTTTCTGTGATTTATAATATAAACATATCCTATGGGTAATTTCAAAGAGAGCTTATGGGACTAAAACCAGGAGCTCTTAACACTGTGACCTAAAATTGAAGTTCTCCATAGGATGTAATAGACACTCAATAGTGTCTATTTTGTCCTGAAGAGATATATGATTTAGCTACTAATATCAGTGATTAGTGAGGTGGGAAAGTAAATAAATTTTCCAAGTTTAACCACTGCCAAAAAAAAAGAAAAAAAAATAAACGTATCCTGGTTCATATGTTGGTTCATACTCACTGAAAATGGAATAGTGCCACAGGACCTCAGGGCCTGAATTTGCCTTTATGTTTATGATTGCTGTAGCACCAAATAGTATTACCTTAATTATCTTGGGATAATGAAAAAAAGAGTAGAGAAAACCTAATAAGTAAATGATGCATTCCCATCAAGTGAGAGCCAACTAACTTCACAATGTAGTGTATGGATTAAAAGTTCACTGAGGTTTGATTAAAGAAAAGTAAGAAGAGAAGTGAGTCACCATATGGTATATGGCAGGTACATTACCAATGCCTACACAATATGAGGGAACACTAGAGTGTATGAAATTAAGAAAAACTTCAAAAAGAAGACTATCTTTAAGCTGTGTCAAATAAAATCTTACCTAATAATAGACAAACATATAAATTACCCATCCCTCTGCTACGCTCACCAGCCAATCAGGAGAGTATACAAATTAACCCAACAAAGATGGTGGTTAATTTGCATACGTAGGGGCGAAGCAGCAAAGTGAAGACTGAAGGCTCCGTCTGGAGCCTCGAAGACTGAAGGCTCTGTCCGGAGCGAAGGCCTGGGTCCCGGGTGCCAGAGGAAAACCGGTGCCAGCAGCCAGGGGAAGGGAAGGCCTATTGCATGAATCTCTTCGTGCAATGGGCCTCTAGTATCAAATAAATAGGGCAAAAGATTGGCATGTAGAGGAGCACAGGAGACTTTGAAAGTTTGTGAGGAGGACATTCTGAAAAGGGAAGTGTGCTGAAGGTGGCCCACCCTGTTTATCGGAATTCTGACTTAGGGGAGTGCAGGAGGTGGTGCCCCTAATTGTTCCTTGACCTTTCCAAACAAGTCTGTGCATGTGCGAACCCTCGGGTGTTTACTGGAATCCTTATGCTTAATCTTTAGGTGTCCTTGCTTAAATGACACTGCAGACACATATGTCCCCCCAAGATTACTTACCCTACTGATTGTATCTAAAAGCTAAACTTTATCTCAAACTGCTGTTACAATAAAAGCCTAATGAGGCAGGTGATTGAAGCTGTCTGGTTCCTTTAGCCAGGCAGTCCCTTAGCC